GGCGAGATCGTCCACCGAGGGTTGAGCAGAACTTTGACACAACATGTTTTAATCAGGAATTTTACATTTGATCAATTGTAACAGAGGACCCATGTTTATTAGAGGCACAAAGGGAAGGAGAGCCCAGATTAACCAACATGGACTGATTCACCGAACACAGCAGATTCCTTTTAGCTGTTTGTTTTTTGAGTTTCACAATAAGAGCTTAAATCGTCTCTGTTCCACTCACCTGCCTGATTACGTGGATTTCCTGTTTGAGAATGCGTAGACACTTATTTAACTAAAAAACACCAAGATTAAACATCTGTTCTTCGCCACTTATTGGCCGTTCTCACAGCCATCAGGTAATTGAATTTGAAAATCGCCCATCATCTACGGAAACTTCCCCAGATGAAAACACCCAGAACGGCTTTTATCCATCATCAGAGTTAAAGCTACAATCATTTGCACCTATTTTCTGATAGCCGCATTTTTACCTCCACCAGTGTGTCGTGCTCATTGGCCATGACTAATTTACTTCAAAAGGAAGCTTCCATCATGACCCACTTTCCCATAAACCAACAGCTGCGATCCGGTCCAATAACAAGACACAAAGACAGAGCTTTCCCATGAGCGTTTGGGTATCGAAAGGTAAAGCAAGATTTAGTGCTGATCTGAATAAAGAGATTTCCATTATTCTGCAGTCTCCTGAAAATGTGCACAGCTGTTTAGCTCCATCCTTTCACCGAGCATGTTGCACAACTTGTGGTTAAGGTATGGATGTAAAAATTATACACTTGGGGAAGTATGGAAGTATCTAGGTTTAGGTTTAAGATCACTAGATAAGAGGTAACCCAGTGGTGTCCAATCCCGGTCCTCCAGGGTCCAGCATGTTTTAGAGGTTTCTGCTTCAACACACCTGATTTTATTTAGTAGGGGATTAACACACACCTGTAGAATTTGATGAAATGTAAAATCTATGATATTCAACCATTGAATCAGGTGTACTGGAGCAGAGAAACAACTAAAAGATGCTGGATAGGAGCCCCAGAGGACCAGGATTGGACACAGCTAATGTAGACAAGCTAATTAGCTAATTTATAAATCTGATTATATTAGCAGATTTTGTTATCTAAATGATTATTAGTCATCTTGTTCATGTTTAATCAGCTAAATATCCATCCATCCATCCATAACGCAAACCAACCAACCAACCAGCAAAATATCCATCAGTTAACCAACCGAGCATCCATCCATCATTCATATAAAACCATTGAACTAACCAGCAGAACATTCATCAGTTAACCAACCGAGCATCCATCCATCCATCCCTCCATCCATCCATCCATCCATCCATCCATATAAAACCATTGAACTAACCAGCAGAACATTCATCAGTTAACCAACCGGGCATCCATCCATCCATCCATATAAAACCATTTAACTAACCAGCAGAACATTCATCAGTTAACCATCCATCCATCCATCCATATAAAACCATTTAACTAACCAGCAGAACATTCATCAGTTAACCAACCGATCATCCATCCATCCAACATATAAAACCATTTAACCAACCAACTAACTAGAACAACATCCATCAGTTAACCAACCGAGCATCCATCCATCCATCCATCCATCCATCCATCCATCCATCCATCCATCCTATAAAACCATTTAACCAACCAACTAACCAGTAGAACATCCATCAGTTAACCAACCGAGCATCCATCCCTCCATCCATCCATCATTCATATAAAACCACTCAACCAACCAACTAACCAGCAGAACATTCATCAGTTAACCAACCGATCATCCATCCATCCAACATATAAAACCATTTAACCAACCAACTAACTAGAACAACATCCATCAGTTAACCAACCGAGCATCCATCCATCCATCCATCCATCCATCCATCCATCCATCCATCCTATAAAACCATTTAACCAACCAACTAACCAGTAGAACATCCATCAGTTAACCGACCGAGCATCCATCCATCCATCCATATAAAACCATTCAACGAACTAACCAGCAGAACATCTATCAGTTACCCATCCATCCATCCATCCATCCACTATTCATATAAAATTAACCAACCAACCAACAAACCATACTCAGCCGAACATCCATCAGTTAATCAACCATCCATCCATTCATGTAAGAAAATGTTCCACACTGACTTCAATGCAGTTTATTGTTTGAACACCTATGCCCTTGCGTATAAATATTTTTGAATGCCCAACTTATAAATGTTCTTAATTATTTAAGTTTTTGCTTGTTTGGAAAGTGCATGTACTCAGAATCATTGCTAAGTATCAGTTATTAGCTGGATATTTTCATAAAGCTACACACGTAATGCACAAGGCAGGCAATGACATACATGATGGATGAAAATAACAAGGAGTGTTACATGCAGAAGGAATGGGAAACGTGTACTTCCAATCTCTCTGAAACTTAATACAGACTCACGTCTTTTCTTCTTTAATCCCTCCTGATGAAAGCTTGAGGTCCATTCACAATGATCCAATGACAAAAAGGTCTTTCCCTGAACACCTGACTTATACAGCACTGTAACAAAACATCTAGCTAGTTCTGTTAAGATCTGAGGAGTGAAAGGAACAAAACATTGGAACAAAGGCAATATTCCACCCTAGGGGGATGACATTTTCAGAAAAACAGGAACTATTGTATTGATGTATTCCAGTTCTTTGTCTTTTCAGATTTTGAAGGTCGTTTTAAAATGTATTCAAAACCAGAAACATTGAAGAATAAGAATTTCCCATAAGACATTTGGGATTTCTTGAATGGCTAAAATGGAAAACTAGAGTACTTTCTTCAGGATTGATGTGCTAATGGCTAGTAAGCACCTCGTGATTTTTATCTTGAGAGGTGCTATAGAAATGATATTTTCTTCTTCTTCTTCTTCTTCTAGTACAAACTCTGCCATGACAAAGTGGGTTAATATCTTAAAACAGATCCAGAAGTTTAGATTTGATTCACAGGATGTTTAAACTGTTGGATGATATTTGAAACATGAGAAAACTACACAAACCAATTTTACACATGACTATCACCCAGTCAGATAGGAAATCCCGAAAAGTCGATCGAGAATTTGGAGTAAAAAAAATGGTGGAGGAGAAGCATACAATTGGCCCCCCACTGCCTTGGTTTCTGATTGGTTACACATCAACTGTCTTGTTTGTCCTTGAGACCAAGACAATCCAACGTGTTGGAATATTCCTGATATGTCATCCAAGGTGTCTGACTTACTTTCATGCAGACCAGAGCATACCACACATGGTAGGAATATCTGATGAGATCATCTTTAGAGCTGTTACCATAATGAGGGATGTCCTTAAGACTGAGTAGAGAAAAGGCTCTAAAATCATCATAATTCTTCTTGCAGTGTGAATCGGACCTTATTAGTTCCTGCAACAGTATTTTAAAAACCTTTAACATCAATTTCACCAAGAAAACTTATTTTTTTTGTTAGTTTTTTAAAAAGATCAGTCACTCTGAGTTTACATGCAGGCCTAATGTGAAAATATTCTTCTACTCCTGTATTAGCTCCTGATAGAAAACGGAAAAACTCTCGACTCTGAAAACCCTGACAGATCTACGTCACACTGTCGTTTAACATTCATGAACTCACCCATCTTTTAGCTAGGGATGTGTACTGGTGGTATTATGGCGATACAATACGTGTCACGATACAGGGGAGACGATACAATATATCAATACATTCAGTCATACAATCAGATATTAGCGATTTTGAATTTAATACAGGAAAATTCAACATTAACATGTTTAACATGAGGGATCTAAACCATAATTTACATTTCAATGGTGGAAAACAAAACGTTGCACACTGCTGCCAACTAGCTGTCGGCGTTTGAATTGCACCAAAAGAAAAGAAAATACACAAATGTTTGCATGTAAATTCTTCCAAAAATTAGCTACACAGCTTTTCTATATCATAATATTTCAGGAAAACAATTCACGATATATTGCCATATCAATATTTTGTTACATCCCTACTTTTAGCGTTTCCTGGTTTAGCGCCTAGGAAACGGTAAAGAACATCTCAGCTAGTAGAAGCTAACCGTTAGCATTAGCAACTCCACCATGTAGCAGAACTCATTCAGGCTTTAGTTATTTGTGGAGATAAAACATCAACTTTGCAGTGCAAGAAGCGTCACTGGTAGAGTCACGTTGTTGTTAACCAATCAGAGGCAAAATGTCCAAATAACAGGAAATAAGTCCAGATCCTGTCATTTGTTGCCACTTTCTCCTCTTTAAACAGGCGCAACCGAGCCTGTTTCCCCTGAGTACGACTTACAAGGCATTCATTCCTCCTTGAGACCACTATTAAAAATATTAGTAAAGGTGATATTTAAACTGCTTTCATCTTCACATTATAGAATCACAGACATAAATTTAAGTTTTAAGAAGGCAGAGAGACACTTTGGTCTCATCTATGCTTGGACCAGCCGTGCACCAGGATGGAGGACGTAAACCTGATTTCTCCAAACAAAACCGTTTGGAAAGTATCTAGTCACTTCAAAAAGCCCAGAAGAGCCTTTAAATGTGTTGCTTAATGTGAAAGATGTGTGCAAATGAAACCAGTCTGGTGCCCCAGTCCATCCCACCACTAACCCAAACGACAGCTTTCATTATCACGACTCATTCAGAATCACCTTTGGGAACAAAATCCAATAACTGACCCATAGAAGAGAACTTGAAAGCTGCATCTCTTTTTGCTTTGAGGCCTCCAGCATGTTGCCTCCAACTAAAATCTTGCAGCAACAGATCAGAAAATGAAAGCTGAAATGTGATACGCCCCCAAAACTTCACAAAAAAGGCAACAGCATCTAGCTTCAGTGGTCCACAAGCTCACTACAAAACCACAAGTCTGCAGAAAGAACTTTGGAAAGATACACTTTAACTAGTTTAGAAATCTAAAGAACTATAAGAAAACGCGCCGCTGCTGTGGAGAATGAAACATGCTTCCTTACCTAGTGCCATCTCCATGACGCTCATTTGGCTCTCTGAAGGGAAAAGGATTTTCGGCGGCTTGTCAGTCAGGGGAGCTGTGAAAAGACAAAGAGAAGAGAGAAACGCTCAGTTGTCCCTGCCGGACTGCAGGAGTGTGATTTATTCATTTAAAAAACCACAATTCAAACAGAGAAATAAAAGATTCAGAGGAGGAAAAGGATAAATAAAGCATTAACTGCAGTCCTGATCTGATTGAATAATAAATGACCAAATGGATACAAACAGAAACAATCCTAAATAAAACTTCTGCTGTTAGGGGAACACGGAGGGTCGGACGCTGTTTTTAAGAGATTTGGCTTTGCGGCACTCTTCCTAATGATTCCAACCACAACAATAATAAAAATGATTATTACAGACACAAGGATTTGAACGTGCTTCATTAGAAAACTCCCCTTTCAGAGGCAGCGGTTCTAATTAGACAGCTGCTGAGTAACAAAGCAGTGCACTTAAAGGCTTCTCGTTAGCAGGAGTCCCTAAATGCTTCTAGTCTTCAAAGTGCCATCGCAGAGCGCTCCATCTTCTGGTTTTACGTACATCCCTGTGGATAAAACCATGTGGCTCGACAGGAGAAAAGACTCCCGATTTAAACTCAGAAGACAATAAAAACATTCACAATTAGACAAAACAGGATCATAGTTCAGCTCTGTGGTAATAGACGGTACATAATATTCAACATAAATGTATATTTAGAGATTTTTCCTGTAGATTTAGTAGAATTTTTTTTCTATTGAAGAGTTTTAACCTTAATGCTAAATCCGATTTCTCTCTTAATCATGGCAAATACTGTAACCCGCCATTTAAAGACATAAATTAACACATAATATGAATTAGAAAGGCACCTATTCAGGTTTAGAAGGCTGATACTGGTTTCCAGTGGATTAGGGCCACTGAAAAGAAAAATAACGAAATTTCTGACTTATTTTCCACAAAATTCTGACTTCTGAGAAAAATGTCTGAATCCTGAAATTAAATACTTTTTCTTTCCTTTTTTTCATGTCAGCGGCTCTAATCCTCTTCCATAAGTTTTAATGAATGCCTTGTGAGTCGTTTTCTATGTAGAAAAGCTCCAGCGCTCATGTGTCAGGCAGTAGAAGTAAGCTTAAGTGTGTGGGGGTGTTGGGTGGCAGGTCTTACTCGTTAAAGTAACCACAAGTATTTTTTTACTTGAAGGTAGCACTTTAAGATTGATCTCAGTGATTGTTAGGTTAGAAACTTAAAAAGTTTCATATTTGACACGACTCTGCAGCCCTCTGCTGACCAAAAGCCACACTAGATGTTTTGTGTGGACCGGGTAGGTGTCCTTGGGGTCACTCTAATTGCTTTACAGCTGTTAGCTGGAATGCTAGTGGTTAGCATTTTCAGTTCGCCACTCGTCAATAAAAAGCACAAGAAGAAGAAAAAGAAGAAATGTATTTTTTTGTTAGCATCATAGCGGAATCTGGAAGTAAACATAAGAGAGTGATGTCTTTGTAGATGAAGCAAAGAGCTAAAATCAGAGGGAACATCGGCACGGCCTACGCTAGCAGTGGGGATCTTTTTACTTTGTGCTTTACTTCAGTGTGAGTATCAGTATGAGTTGACTCATGTTAGCATTAGCTCTTTATTAGTGCTAGCTACAGCAGGGTTGTTTACGACAGTTGTTATTCCACTTTCAAAACAGTAAGGTGTTACTGAACATTCGTGATATTCAGACTTCTTGCCTCTGATTAGCTGTGTGGCTTTTTCAGACCCAACTCTTTCCTCTTCTATTTATTTTGGTGGCTAATGCAGGAAATTATCTCTGTAGTTATGCTGCTATAGGCTTAGACTGCTGGAGGATACACTGACCACTTTTCACACTCTACTACTTTCTTCTACAATCTGCTCTTTAACTGTATTATTTCCTCCTATTTCAGCTGTTAACTTTATTTTTTGTCTAAGTGTTTTTCTCCACAGAAGAAGCTGCAGTGATGTTCTGCTGAGCTGTGGTGGCCTCATGGAGGGGGCCATCGTCTAGCACACTGCTGCTAATCACTTAAACATTCTCCCTCTCCTGATAATAACATTTTGCTTTCCTTGACGTTGAATGTGCTACTACTAGTTTATCCGTTTAATTATAGATTCACTAGGATAAATACAATAAAATTTATCTCTCGCCAAATAGAATATTTACTAAGAAATCACAATGTAACCATAGACGCATTGCTTGGTGTGTGTGTGTGTGTGTGTGTGTGTGTGTGTGTGTGTGTGTGTGTGTGTGTGTGTGTGTGTGTGTGTGTGTGTGTGTGTGTGTGTGTGTGCGCTCTGTCTTCTCAATCCCCAGTGAGTCGTGGAGGATGGCTGCTTATACTGAGCCAGGATTCTCTGGAGGTTTCTTCCTGTTAAAAGGGAGTTTTCCTCTCCACTGTCGCTAAATGCTTGCTTAGTATGAGGATTGCTGTAAAGTCACTGACACTAGTCAGTGACTTGATGCAATTTGCTGGGTTCCTTATATAGGAAACATTTTTTCTGATTGGCTTAATGAACTGACCTGAATTGGAATGTTTATTATGTGAAGTGCCTTGAGACGACTCTTGTCGTGATTTGGCGCTTTATAAATAAAATTGAATTGAACTGAAATGGGCAGAGGACTATTTTCACGGTCAGCTAGCGTGCGACACACAAAGTGATTTATCATATTTCAAAGTGAACAGTAAAACGGTTTTTCGGTGAACCTCACTTTAATTTGCCAACAAGATTTATTTTAGTTTTACATTTGTGATCCTGGGAGAAAACCGAAGATCTGTTTTTGCTCAAATCTACAAACGCTACGGTATGGTGGGGAGGGTTGCAGGTTTACGCCGCACTCAGTTTGTTGAAATCCTTGTGCCCTTAAGCAAGACACTTCACTTGCTGGTGATATTTTAAGGGAACCGGCAGCAAGCCCACCTCTATTAGACAGCCCCAGTGCTTTGACCGGCTCAGGGGCTAAACTTCTCAGGATTGTCAAAAAGTTGCAGCTTTACCACCAAAAAAAAAAATTCCTCGAAACCAATGCTGTTCAATTTCTACTGTAAACTGATGGTGGGTGGGGCTAATCAATACAAACTACCATAAAAGCAAAGAATTACCAATTAACCTGACAGAGAGATTAACCTAAGGAAGAAAACTCGATGAAGCTCAGAGAGGACGTGTTAGCTCCTCAAAGAAAACCCGCAGCTGGGTATCGAACCTGCAACCTTCTTGTAAAAGTGCTACCTACGTATAAGTGAATGCTATTTCTGTGGTGTCTACTCAATCAGCCAATCCTTCTGACGTCACTGACAGAACTGCGTTGTAGTACAAAGTGAGATGTAGACAGAAAGATGGAAAAAGGAACTCGTTAATTTACTATTTTTATACCTTTATGCAACACACGTGACTTCCTATCATGATTAACCTTTTATTTTAAACGAACCATGCTCAGATTGTTTTGTTTCTCTAAAACATGAAAGAAAAAGTGGATTTCTTCCTCTGATGATTTGGCTGACTGAATCTAAAGAGTAGAAATGGTGTACGGTGATGTATTCATAGCAACAGAAGACAGGAACATCAAACATGGAGCCACAGCTCAGCGCATGTGCTGTTCATACCTTCTATTATCACTGAGTTAAAGCCAGAACAAGTACAGCCTCGTTTTACATTAAATCCGTTGTTTCGTTCATCAGAATTATCTCAAAAACTTGACTAAAAGCCTCTGGACCAGTAGCCCCTGGAGGCAGGAACGCTTGGTGATCACTGAAATTACGGTATTGATTGCTAGAAGGTTAAAACATGAAAATGGAAATTTTCCTGGTCAACAAAACCCACAACGTCCAGAAACCAAACAGGGCATTGCTGTTTACACATCACAGCTACACAATAAAGAAAACCAGCACATATACACGGGAAGAGTTCATTTTAAAATATCTCTAGGCTGAAGGTTTTAAGCAAATACGAGTAATGCTGCTAAAACCAGAGAGAAGAACTGAATAACCACCGAAGCACATTCAAGGTAGACCCAGTTTTATAGGCCAGTGTTTAGTAGGAGTTGGCTCATTCACACGAGCCCCTGGCTGGGTCCTTGGGCCGAAGACGTTTATTGTACGAAACCGATCTTATTCATTTAAAAGAATAAATGAATACCTGTTGGTGGAGAAAAAGACTTGACTTCAGGGTTAAGGAGATGAGGTTGATCCATTCTGGAGCCAAAGCCACTCGTTTATTGAGCATAGTAAAAGAAAGAGAGCAAATATGAAAACTAAAAGTAGTCTTGACAACTGTAAACCTACCTTTAGGTATAAACAATGTGGAGCGAAACATATTGTGGATTTAGATTAAGATGTTTCAACCAATGACAGAAGGAGGCCTTCTAGAGTTAATGATCCTTTACATCTAAAGGTGGATTGTGCTTTGTGATGAGGATATTTTAATTCCAATTCAATACATATTTTAATAATTGAATCTAAGGCAGGTGAGTCCAACCCGTTTTAGTTGTTTCCCTGCTCCTACATTCCCGATTTAATGGTTCAATCATCTGCTCATCAAGCTCTGCAGAAGCCTGTTGATTCAATCCGATGTGTTGGAAATAGAGGAGAAATAACAAAAACATTCTAGATAGGACCAGGATTTGGCTCCACTGCTTACGGACATGCTATATCCGAGAGTCCCATAAAATGCCAACCAAAGACCTTGTAGAAAGTTGGATTAACGCTGCAATGGCAAATCTGGAAAACAAATTAGCTTAACACATTTTTGACGCCTCTTAACAGTGTTCTAACACAGTATAGCTACAGTATAAATTGTTTGTGGAGATTAATAAAAAAATTATTTTCTGTTAATGAAGTGATTTTCTCGCATTTGTCTAAAAACCTCAGCCAATACCATGGCTTGGACTGAAAGCAACTACTGAGCTATCCATTCGTTTGTCTCATCAAACCGCCGCACTTACGCAGGTCATCCATTCATTACGCACTGGCGTATTTAGCAACATCAATACCATAGAAGGACAAACAGCCAGCTGCTACCGCTTCAGCTTTAGGACAAATTACCAGAGTCC